CAGTGTAAAAAAAAAAAAAAAAACCCAAACCAAAAAAACCCCACATCATTTTTATTGCTTTGGGGACAGGGATGGAAGGAATGCTAAGAATGAAAAGCTGTGCCTGAAGCCTGATGGGAGGTTTTTTTGGTATGCTCAAAACTGTGTCAACCCTTTCCATGAATATTTCATTCATTTTTAAAGGGAAAACGATCATGGCCCTAATACATTAGGGGTTTTTTTTGTGTGTGTGTTTTCAAAATACTTATTTCATTCCATCCCTATACCCTTCTGCAGTAGCCCACAGAAATACTGTGCTGCATAAAAGGTTAATAAGATTCTGCATAAATCAAAAATATATTCTTTAGATGTTAGCATGAAGAAATTCTGTTTCGGTTTGCAGTCAATGGGATCATTGACTTATATGGGACTGCAAACGGTCCATAAGTCCACATTCATTCATCACTCTGAGCATACTCTGGGTTTTCCAAGAAAGGTGGAGTTTAAAAGACCTGTTATTGCTATGTATATTCAAAAAGCCAGAAGACTAGATGGCTCATGGGATAGGAGAATGGAATACCAACCATTTTCTCTTTAGATCAGTTGTGAAAAACAGTGCTTGAGTATCATTGCCATTCAGAGGGTTTTTAGTGACCTGTGATGGAAGAAATTACTGTGTTTCCTAAATAAACAGTTTTTGGGTGTTCTATGACTCACTCCTGTCCGCCCCCTCAGTCACTCTAGTGTTCTGCATGGGACGTAGGTTAGTCTACATTTTTTGTAAGCAGCGCAGCTTTAAATGAGTTGAAAAGTTCAGGCCGTACTAAAAGCAACTAGACATTCAAACTGGAGCCAGTTTGATGGTTTAGCAACTCAAAAGCTAGTATTTCATTACAGTGTTGTTTGTATGCACAGTAACAGCTGTGTAGTGAGCTGCCTTAAATTCTCTTACAGTTCTGCTGCAGAGGAGGTGGAAATAAAAATTAAGTATTGGTACACGAAAACTTTTAGAACAACTTTCTTTGGAAGTTAAGTTACCTTTGATGGCTGAACCTTCTCTGACATGGCTGCTCTAAGGCAAAAATCAGTGCAGGCCTAAGCATAAGACATCACCTTTCAAGTTGATCCATATACCTTCATTCAAAGCTGGAGCTTGGTCTTCTGCTCTGTATCCCAGTTGGGCTGTAGAAGTAAAAAGTTCCCTGCCTGCTACATGTACCACCTGAGCAGTGGCTCCCTTCCTAATCTTTAGGTCAGAAGAAATTGTCAGGTTACTGGAGAATAAAGCAAGGGTTTACCAAAGCCTGGTTATCAATGTAGAAACACCAGTGGTGCAAACAGGTTGGACAGAGACTGGAGAAAAGAGGCTGTTCCAGCCAGAGATGGGTCATTACGCTTATTATTTCAGACAGAGCTCTTACAACCTCAAGTCAGCTCTTCAACAATTTCTGTAATCATGCAAGACTTCTAGAGATCTTTCCATGTGGAAAATCTTGAGTCAGTATCAAGTAAATAGACATATGTCCTTGCACACAGAGAACCCGAGCTTTGAGAAATTAGTTGAATATTTAGCTGTTATGGTCTGTATGGTACAGCTAATCTTACATAAAGTCAAAAATTAAACGCGGCTCTGAGATCTTTTCCACGCCACAGCAAGCTGTCCTCCCACTTTGTCAGGGATGCATAACTATGGCATAAGGTTTAATCATGCCTGTTAATGCTAAAGCAATTCCATATCTACAAGAAAAGGCAATTTGCTTGTGGCTTTGAATTCCCAGATTATCAGAAGAAAAAGTACCTATTTGTTTTCCTAGCATATTGAGCTACCAGAAAAGAAAAGGAGATAATTTTAGGACAATTAAGAATTGTTTGGAAAAGGGGACTGTAACACTAATTACCTTTAGCTGTTCAGATGCAATAAAAAGAACATAAAGTCACAATGATTTCTTAACAGTAAAAGAGGTTATATTAGAAGAGAAACTCCCAATTACCCCGTTGATTGGCAAAGCTCACCCAGCTGCACAGAGTGAATTTGAAACCTGTGATTCTTTCCAAGGTGAATATGGTGACAAAATCATTAGCCATTCTCAGTACACATCTATCTTAATTAAAATCTACCCCCCTGTGATGATAATATAGGCAGCCCAGCTTCTCCAGACACTCACAGCTGGCATCTGCATCAATCTTGTTGACAAAGACACTTCTTGAGAGCATGTGCTGTAATGTTTTTTCTCTCCCATGCAGGGCTTTGAAGCAAAAGCATTCCTCTGGGCTCTGGCAGCCCTGCCCCTTAACCACTCATGTATTTGCTAAGGGGTATAACATAACATGACCTAACATTAGGCTTTCTTTTTCTGCTGTCCATTAAACTAGCAATAAGCATTCCAATAATCAGGACAACTTACAATATACCTTCATGACTACAAAGCGCCTCCACCACGACAAGTTGCAGCTTCACGTTGGTTTAGAACAGGCCTTTGGGGAGACACACTTGAGAGTTTTTCCACATGGCACCTGATTTCACTGAGACACTTGATGAGCAGCTGACAAACACAGGAGAATGAGACCAATAGAAAATTGTGGCCATAATGCATTTATCACAAGCAGCTGTGTATCAAATGGTGCTTAAGTAGTTAAAGGAAATGTATGTTAATCAACTTATAAAAAACTGGATAGAATCTTATGACTAGTCCCAAACACATGTGGAGTTACTGTCAGTAAATATTTTTTGAAATGATGTGCCAGAGCGTTTACATTAAACAGAAAAGATACTTGCTTCTTAATTACACAGGTTTCTGCTAAATGATTTTAGATTAAAGTGTGGAAAATGAGCATGTCAGCTACTCCTTTAAAATTTAGGTTGACAAAAAATGGCTAAGAACTTCCTTACATACATAAAGTTTTTAATACAACACAACACTCCTCCTGAATTGGTAATTCACTTAATATAATTACAGTTACACAGAAAAATTAGACAAGTTTAAATCGAAATACTCTCTTTAAAATCCCTTTATATAAAAAGAGTCTGTGTACATAGATAGTAGTCATTTTTCAAAGTCCGTAACTTCATTAGTTTAAAAGCAAAAATCCAAACCGCAGCTGTTCCCATACACCCTAATTGCTTAGATTGGATTTGGACCATTTTATTTTAAGTATTTCAAAGCCAGTTCTGAAGGACACCACCCTCATAGGATCTAAATGCAAAAGCGTTAGATTAAGAAAAGGGATTTTTTTGAAGTCTGGGTGTGAGAAAACGAATACTGACAATGACATATTAATGCATCAATGATGAATAAATACAAGAACTTAAAATTTGAACCACCAGCAATCTCATACATCATTCTCTCTCCTTTTTTTTTTTTTGAAAGGATATAAAAGATTCAAATGTCAGAACTATAATGTCAGAACTGTTTATAATGTCAAGTGATGCATGTTGCATACTCCTACTGTATTCCATTGATCAAACCAGAACCTGGGATAATAATTGCAGATGATGGAGCACATTTCTTGTACAAATGGGCATGGATTTGAAGTGAATTTGGAAGAAAAACATTTTCATATTGAAGTCTTAATAATTGTTTTGTTCATCCTGCACTGATCTGTGCACAAATTATTTTGCGTAAAGCTGATGCTTCTAACAATAACTAATATTAGTGTGATGCCTGCAGGGCACTGTCAGCCGAGGATAATTTACGATACAATGTAGTAATTTGATAAAACTTGTTGCAGACTTGAGAGAGAACCAATCCCAACAGAACCAGAGAGAACTATAATTTTCCCTTTGCAGACAGTTCATGCAGTCCCATTTCAGCTTACAGAATTAATCTTGTTATTTATAAAGTAAGGTTGAGTTGTTTTTAGCCTAGTTCCCTAAGAAAATGAGGCATATGTGAGGATGCCATCTGTGAACGCCTTCCCTGCACTCCTAACAGCTACCATGTTCGGAGACAATTGCAACCCAGTCTGAAAGCAGGTAGAAGACTCAAAGAGAGTAAATTGCTAAAAGCTTTCGCCCAGGTATCTGGGCAGGGCAAAGATACCTAAATTAATACCCCCTGTCAGGGAAAGGCAGGAAGAATTCAGCTGTCTGTTTGGCAGAAGCCAGCAGTCCCATCAGCA